TTCAGCTACCCTGCTTGTTTCACAGATGCATCTGTGTGGCTAAGCCCAGTGCCCTCTTCTGGGGTGTCCCTCTAAATAGGCCGGCCACCTCATCCCAGCAGCTCACTTGACGGAAACATGGCTCAGAGCTTCACCCAGAAGCAGCCAACAGCTCCTCTGGGAGGGACTGACATAACAGCCTTGCTCTCTACTTGACGACGATGGTTTTACCAGTAAGAGCTGTTCTCTAGGAGGGTTTGAATCTGAGGCAAAAAGAGCTGAGCACCAGAAGTACAGGGACAAAGAGAAATCACAGTAAGCAAGGTCCGTGAATGAGCAGAAACAAGTCAGTGGATGCTACAAAGTGAAGCAGATATGAAAGCAGTGTGAGTAGAGGCAAAGACAAACAAGTGAGCCACCATGACGTCCCATGATGGAGGAGAGCAACAGGCTGTCTGCTTCTGCAGGAGCAGTTTCTAGAGTTGAGATGGCAGACAAACCAAGCTGCTGTTGGACTGTGAGTGACATTCTGGTCTCTGCAGCTTGTCCGTAGTTCTACTTAGCTGTCTTCCTTTCACAGCCCGTTAACTGAGGAAGCCCGACTGTGTCACCTTTTCCTGAAAGATTCCCAATGCCAGATGTCCCAGGCTTCCCAGGCCTGGGGGCACCGGCCACGGTGTGCTCCTTTCCGTCCTTCTCAGAGATTCGTCTCTAACCCTCTCAGCCGGGCCCTGCCTCTGTCTTCACTTGAGGAATTTTCCCCTAGCATACTCTGGACGCCCTGTGAGTGTTATCATCTAGAGATGAAATACATTTTCATTTCACTCTTTCAATTTACTTTTCTTGATGCCTCTTTCCAAAAGTAGGTGGGAAAAACATTCTTCATCACCGTTATATAGTGGAACATTTTAGGATGCCCTGTCCAATCGGGGCTCCTACCTACATGCAGCTGCTGACCACCTGAAACATGATACTACTAGTGAGGAAAGGGAAATTTAATTTAATTAAAGTTAATTAGAAATTTAAATTTCACTGGGCATACACTGCTACAGATGGGTGACACGACTCTATTCACCCTTAAAGGAAAGGAGGAGGAGCTGGAAGAGGACAGGAGGGAAGAAAGGAGGAATACTGACACTGTTTCTTATACGTGATGGTGCGTTATTTCCCAGTTTGTCTTTAACTTGATTCAAATCAATGGATTATCTTACCTCATAAATATATAATCTCTGTATATCTACTTAAGATTTCATTATCTGTGGATCAAAGCCTACTTGCACCAACATCCCCTGGAGTTCTCTAAGATGCTGATTCTTGGGTACCAGGAACTGTGCTGGAGGAACTACAGTGGGGGTCTGGCGCCCAGAGTGTGACAGCCCTGGTCCCCCACGTGTTCAGAGGGTGAGGCCAGATGTCTGAAGCACGGGGGACTGGGTTCTGTCTGGAATCTGATTCCTAAAAAATGTTTATGTTATTTAAAATTTCCTTTAGAAATTACTGCATGCTATTTTTTTTTTTTTTTTTTTTTTTTTTTTTAGCTGACAGACTACTTTCAGGAAATCATTACGTGATGACTGAGGCAAACAGAAAAAGTCTCACCATTTTTTCATTGTTATATAAATCTTAAGCAGCGTGGACCAGTGGAGATAATTTACGAAAAGGTAAGAAAAGGGTCAACAAAGCACAGCTGACCGCTCGCCCTCGAACCAAACAGAATTCTTTCATGCTCTAGATATTCACAAATATACTATGGATTTAATGAGGTCTGAAGGTCAACTGGTTCACTGAAAAGAAACGCTCTGTAATGAGCACGGACTACTGCAGAACAATGATAGAACAGGTGTCTGGAACAGTGTGGCATTCTTATCCTTTGTGTTTGGGAAAGAAGTACACAGTGACTGTGTAGCTCCTACGTCAGCTCAGAACGACTAGAGAACAAAGAGCACAGGAGTATTTTGGCAGCACCAGATGATACAGGCGACACTAATGGGTGTTGTGTTCCATGCAGCTTTGAGGACTGGCCGTGGGAAAAACTTTTTATACACATTTAAGGATTCCTCAGACTTCAGAAGGGTCTTACTTCTCACTGGCAATAAAGTAAGTGGCAACAATCTAGGAAACTTTAGTCTACTAATATCTTTAGAGGATAACAAAATGTGGGAAGGCACAGTATTTTGATCAACGGTGGCACCTGTCCCATTTTAAACTTAGGTGCTAGTGGTTTTCTTTTCATTTAATTCCATTACAAGATTCTAAAACCCAAACTGCTCTCTCCACAAAGCAAAACGTACCTCATTAGCTTAACCACCAAGGCCATTTTATGCATATTCAGCATTATTAACTAAATAATTGAAACGACCTTAGTATGCAAGCAAAGAAAAAGGTAGCATTGAGGTATGGGAGAAAAGTAAAGACCGGAAACAGCCCTCTTTGCTCACCCCCGATTCTTTTAAAGATGGAGCGATGCAGTCTACTTTCCACACTTTCTCCCCAGTCCTCCCCCAGAGAGAGGTGCTTGAAATGCTCGCCTGAATCCAGCCTCTCAGAGCCCTCAAACTCCTCATCTCTCCTCCCCTTCTCAAGCTCTGGGTTTTGTGAAGAACTAGGACATTCAGTGAAAATTTAAGATGCCACAGTCTTCTCTGAACGGCTAATGGATTCAACAACAGTAAGAAAGTCAAAGTCTAGAAAATTACATATTTTTCTTTAAGGATATCTTATTCGGGTAGGCTTTCTGCTCTCCACTGTCTCTAATTTGATACTCAGCTATTACTCAGAAAAAGGCCGTTCTAGATGATATATGAGGCTCATAAAGAGGCTGTATTACTTGATCTCCAAGATGGTGCCATTTGATTAGAATTACAAACAATAAACCCTGCAATGATGGATATTAAAATGATTTCTTTTCCTGCAAACTGTCAAAAAAACTGTTAGAATCCAGCTTTCCTGCAGCTTTTCTGAGAGGAGAAAAATTGAGATGTTTCTTCAGTATCATGTAGAATCAAGCTGAGGTATTTGGATTTAGAACAACAATAATATTAAAGCTTTAAAAGCAGATGTGGAGAAAACAAAATTCACGGAGAAAATATCTGTATTGTTCTCAAGTAATTCCACAGAAAATCTTTCATTGTGCCAATATAACCTTTGATCTAGTTTCAAAAACATACTGTCAAAAAACCCACCAAGTTTAAAATTGTAAAAACTTTCAAATACTGATGGCTGCAGATCTGAACACCCTTTAAAACTATTTTTCAATTAGCAGTTTTTGAGACATTTTGGATAATGTTAGTGTTCAGTCAGCTTGATTTTATTTTACAAGGATAAGCTGACTTGAAACAAGTCCTTAGCAGCTTTGACTGGCCAGGCTCAGGTCAGGAGATCAGAAAGAGCCAGGAAGAAAGGACATGGTCCTGTAATTGAAATTCAGGCCTGAGTGTGTGTGTGTGTGTGTGAGAGAGTTAGCTGTGCAAATAAAGTCACTTTTTTGGTTTTGTACTACTGAATTGGCTAAGGGATTTATAAAGTCAGGACCCCTGATTATGATAAAGGAGGTTAAATACTTTAAAAAGTATATGTTACAGTCTTCATGAATCAAAACCATTCTTAGAACCAAGAGGTAACTGGTCAAAAACTCAGCTTCACTATTTGACCAGCTGAAATTCAAAGTAGGAGCCCAGTTGCTACTCAATAAAGTTGTGTTTCTAGGTAACTTTGTATCCAATAGGGAGAAATAACAGGCAAAAGGAAAAATCCCATTCTTACCAACAGAGCAGGCAAGTTGAATAGTAACATCCTCTGACTTGCGTTTACATATTATAGTTACTTGGTAATCTTTTGCCTCCAAATAACTCATAAATCACCACCATATCCCTGAGAAGCCAAAATAAGCTTCCATGTTGAGAGTACAAAAAAGTTAAGTATTGAAACAGTTCAACCACAAGTGATCATCCACCAGAAAATGTGAAGTCTAATTTTGTGCTTTTGCTACACTGTCAATTTAGTCCCTTAACATACTTGAGATCAGAAGAAGGAAAAACCATCTCTGCAATACTATATATGTCCCTTGCTTTGGTCCAACACTTAACTACTGAAAATTCCCAGGAGCAAAGTACAAGCGTGCAGAAACAGTGTCACAAGTCTACTCCACAAAGGGAAGCTCCTTCTCTATTTGCTTTGGAGTACTGTGTTACATTGAAAGGAAACACACACACTCCCAACATCTCCATATGGCAACTAAGAAACGCAGTTTTGTCAGAAGTTGCCATCTCATACTTGTCACCATGTAGCACATGTGATGAGTAGGACAGGCTGAGGTGCCCCGACATTGTCATATTTAGATTCTGCTTCCTATCCACAAAACAGGAGAGGTCAAATCAAGCAGTGACAAAGATAAGCTTAATCATAATAAGGTCTGTGTTGTAGGACAGACAGGAATCAGAAACGGTGATGTAGTCCACCTAGGAACCGAGCTAAACTAAACAGGGAAGTGGCTGCCTTTACCAAAGGAAGCAGCCACAGTCACACGTAAAACCTTCTGGTAAGTTTGAAGGTGCTGTATTGCTAGAGTTTCTGCTTTTTCAAGAAAAGCTAGTAATCTAGACTTTTTGTGTAAAACCTGACAATTGAAAAATACGAGCAACTAATTTTTAAAAAATTGCATGGGCCAAACAAATCAGGTCTGTGGAAAGATACACTGCCCACAAGGAAATTTTTTCTAACCTCAAGGAAGAGTGTGTGAGCTCTTAAGATGATTTGTTTACGACTCAAATGGTTTGCTTATGGATAATACAACTAAAGTGCAACATAAAATATAGCTTTGGTTAGAAGCTGGTAAGTGCCTGAAAATGTAGAGATAAGCAACTGCACTCTGCCTCACTAGAATGGTTCACAAATGCCATACTAATCCCAAAAGGCACGGAAGACAGTTTCAGGAGTGGAGGCCATGAGTCTCAAATATTTCATTTAAAGATCTCTTCAATATGTATTAAATACTACTTTTCAGGCAAAGGGTGCCAGCTTACCTGTGCTTTCTTGAGAATACTGTGCTCATCAGTGCTTGCTGTTTGATAGACTTTTGCCATAACTGTTGTTCTTCCCAAAGGCCCGCATGCTCTCTCCAGCTTCTGATTGCAATTTCACATTAGGGACGGTAAAAATAGAAGACACTGAGGACAGAACAAAAAGTTTTCATTTATATATTTATGTGTGTATTATAATATTTTCTTTTTAAAACAACTAGGCATTGAGGTAGAATTCTGGATGTCCAGCACAATGAACACTGTGGTACATGTTAATGTTTAAAATACCAAGTTGTATCTTCTCTCCTTCTGCTTCTTCTTCTTCTTCCTCCTCTCTCTCTCTCTCTCTCTCTCTCTCTCTCTGCTCTATCTGTTCTCTCTCTGCTCTCTCCCTCTACTCCCACCCCTTGAATAAAATCTGCAGTCGGAAAAAAAATAAAATAAAATACCAAGTTGTCTCAGGCACACACATATTTACACACACGCACAATGGGAGAGCCTGCCTTTCTCTCAGACCCATAGCAGAGATGAATCTGTCACATTATTCTGATCTAGAATGATTCACCTTGATTTGGAAGCAACACATTTTGTCCTGTCTTTGTGCCAGTTTTCATTCATTCATGGAAAGTATTTAGGACAGAATGGAGGACTAAGAAGTGAAGGCAACAGATGTATCTACTGAATCACATTATTCTAGGAATTGTAGAATCCTGCAGCAAACGAATCAGGAAATTCCTGTGCTTGTAGATTTTGGCCAGGGGAGACAGGCAGTAAACAACCAAACAGATATAAACACAGTAGTGGGAAATGTTAGAAAGACAAACAAAGCAGGGTGAAGAAACCAGACGTTTTGGAGTAGAAGGAGGGAAAGCATCCATGATAAGGAACATTTGCTCAGAGACTGCAAAGAGGTGAGAGGGCAAGCTTTGCATTTATCTTGAGGGAGAGAAAGTACAAAATGCAAGAGAAAAAATAGCCAGAATGGACTCCAGACAAGCGGACAGAGTGGGAAGAAAACCAGTTAGGAAGGAGCTAGAAAAATACAGCTAAACACAGGTGGTGAGGGTATGGGCAGGGGGTTGGCAACGTGGTGAAGACTGGACAGGGTGTGTAACAAAGGTAGAGGAGTAAGATTAACTCCCATCAGCTGGAGGAATGGTGTCTCCCTTTGTTCACAGGGCAGGACTGGGGAAGGAGAAAATTTGGGGAAAGGATTAGCAATTTAGTTTCGGTAGATGGCCACGTGGAAATGCTGAGAAGGACACTGGATACGAAAACATGAAGTCAGGGGCCACAGGACTGCACACTGAACCTTGGAAGCTGTAAGTGTTTCTGGGATGTTTAAATCTTGTGACTGGGTGAGATCATCAGGACCCCCACGAGTTTATGCGGAGAGAAAGAGCTGAGGATTAAGCCAAGGGATGCTCTTCAAAATGACAGGTCTGGCAGAGGAGGAGAAATAGGCAGAGGAATCTGAAAGGCAGAGTTTAGGGAGACAAAACAAAACCATGAGAGAATCCTGCCCTGGAAACAAAGCGTAAGCAGTATTACTGGGAGGGGGGGCAATATGTTAAAAAATTCTTCTGATGCATCAAGACGAAGCCTGAAAAAAGAACAATGTGTAAAGCTTTGAAATCAGGAGGTTGGGAGTTGTGGGTACGGAAGCACGGTTGGAAAGGAATTAGGACAGAATCTGATAGCAGCAGACATGCTCGAAGTGAATGTGGTCATTTTATTTTTTAAAGGATGACACGAAGCCATACAATGGCATGCAGTTAGGGTAGCACACAGGCCTACACAGAAAGACCTACCAACATGGAATCTGGACAGGTCCCCTGGGACTGCTGTGTCCACCCGACTTGTTCTCTAAAGGTACTTGCCAAAGTTGCCTGGCCAGGTAAGTGGTGCTAAAGCTAGAATTCAGGTGGTCTGATTCCCAGCTCAGCGCTCTTCACACTGTACTAATTTGTTGGTGTGCTCTTACTGGATTGGAGTTTTGTGAATTAGCAAATGAATGTAATAAAATCAAGGGCTCTGTGCTATGAAGTGTATTTTGTTCATTTACTCTGACAAGGGTAACTCAGCTTTAATTATTTATGTAACTTGATAGTATACACAGGAGAGTGGTCTGTGGTGTATTTGGGATGAGTAATGAATTTCTTCTACACCAGCCTTCCACTCGCTTTTCTGCAATTAAGTCTGTGAGAAGAAGTGGGCAAGACTGCTGGGATTTCAGGACAGAGGGTGAAGGGCACGGTGTCACCAGAATCAGCCAATTGTAACCGTCAGGTCTCCAGGGAACTGCATCATTTTTCATCCATGATGCTTTTATAATCCCTTCTTTGATGATACACTAAAATAATACTTCTAAATTTCGACTATATAACTGTAACGAATGCATACAGTTTTAATGTGCTTCCATGTTGACTTTGCACATAAGCTGGATTTTCTCACACCAAAAGCAGGGCCGTCACCCTTGAGTCTCCAGTTCTGTCACTCTTCCACACCCTTGCTCCTAGTTCTGGTCTATCCAAATATCTGCCTTATATAGTTGGCCCCTGGTGACCAACTTCCCTACGGGACATCGAAAGGCAGCCTGCCTGATGGTCCCATAGTCTGCAGCTACAGTGTGACCCCTGGCCACTGAAGTCTGCTTGCTTAAATCTACCAGTTAAAACTCCTCAAGGGAGATCTGTTAGGATGAACCTGGACCCCATGGAAACCCTGGCCTGTGGGTCCCTCTCTCTTCCGGCCTGTGCTCCTTGATCGATATGTGTGTGGCCTCCAGGCATGCTCTGTCCTCCACACTGGTTACGTCACTGGCGCTGTGGCCCTAACCCCGTCCTGATGTTGAGGGTCTGCAGAGCGACCTGTACAGCTGGATCCCTTGTAAGTGCTCTTCAGGCTGGGTCTGTGGAGGCTGCTGGGACAGTAGACACCAGCTAAGTTGATGAAGAAACTTTAAGTTTTATTAAAAACAGTAACCTGATGAAGATTCAAGGTATAACAAAAGAAGAAAGATATTATATTGTTACATATTCTTCCAAAGGAAATGAGAGAATAGCATTAATCTATCGCCCCCCCCTTCTTTTTGAGATAGGGTCTTACTATGTAGCTCACCCTGGCCTTGAACTCATAACGTAGCCCGAGCTGGCCTCAAAGTCATAGCAACCCTTCTGCCTCAGCCTCCCGAGTGCTGGGATTACAGGTGTGCACCACCATGGCCGACCTACCACCTTGTTTTTATACTAATCTATGGAAAGGCTGCAGTGTCCCATGTTTCCCAGGCTCCAAAAACACTGATACTCATCATACAGAGTATGGCAGAGCAGCGCAGGCCAAGAAGGCTGGCGCCTGCTCTTAACTTCTTCTTGATCTCCCTTGAACCCAGTTTCACTTCTAGCCTGTGTAAGTACGGTACTTGACTTCTGTGGACATTCTCTAAGAAACTGTTATGAACGATCGTAGGGAATGACAGTACAGAGAGACGTAATTACTTCCCCCAAATCATGTGTTCATACCCCGACCCCAAATGTGTTGGTACTTGGAAATGGGGCCACTGGGAGGAGATAAGGGTTGGATGGGGTCGAAGAATGGGATCCTCATGATGAGATGGGTTGCTTTTCAAGGAGAGGAAGAGAGAAATGCCCTTTCCACCTGTGAGGACAGAGTGAGGTGGCTTTCTACCAACCAGGGTGAGAGTCCTTAGCAGCAAGCAGATCTGCTAACACCTTCACCTGGGCTTTAAACTGTGAGAAATGAATGCTATTGTTTAAGCCCTCCATGCGTTTCATCATGGCAGTCTGTGCAGACTGAGACAATAAGGTTCTCAGAACGGGCGAGTCTGAACTTTGACTGGGTCAATAAGACGATCCATGTATTGGTTCGGCAGGAGGATCTCCTTCAGACCTCCTTGGAAGGGAAGTACGTCAGTTGCTTTGCTGCTGCTGCTGCTGCCACTGGCCAGTGAACTTTTACAAGACTCTTCACTAATGTGAAATTTATTTATTCTTTTTGTTTTTATCAGTACATTCTAGGTATACAGTACAGTTACTTTCATTACTGGGATCCTGTACCGTTACATGACAGGATGAATGTGAAATTTAAATTTAATAATTTTAAGGATTTCTAAATATAGTCTGCAGAACATTAGCCCAGACAACAGAGTCACCAAAACAGTCATTTCACTCAAAGGAACGAATTCCCAAAGTCTCTAGAGTGTCAGAATTCTTTGTTTTGCAAACATGTTTACAAATAGAGCCATGTTGGTTGCTGTAAATAGAAATGACTATAGTATTTAGCACTGGGATTGTCCTTTCTTGTGACTGGATTTATGCTTCACAATGATTATCTTAGAGACACAGAAATAGCATTTCTGTAACTGAAAATTGTTACTGGAGGCATTTAGCAGAATCTTGCTTTAAAAATATAATGATTTTCCATCTTTATTCTCCCCCCTTCAAAAGGTTTCACTGCTCCTGATGTCTAACGTTATGCAAAGATGTGTTTCTGCCAGTGAATATCGCCTTATGGTTATACTTCTGCAAATAGCCTGCTGTGAGCTGATAAAGGGATTAATGCAGCCAAAATTCTTAATCTGTGAAATTACAAATTAAATTCTCATATTAAAAATGCCACCCTGAGGTATTTTTTTGTGGTTTTAATTCCCCTCTGGTGTTCTGCATACATTGTGCTTGCTAATGATGAGGACAAGGCTGGCTCCGTTGGCAGTCTGCTGCCGAGTGATAATGCGGAGGCGTTTACCCACTGATGGAAACTGGATTTAACCACGGGCTGATAAACTAAGTGGCAAGTGGGTAATAAGGCCATATTAACAGAAAAGTACTACTAGCGAATTCAGATTCCACAGCCCATCAAAATCCTGGCTTACACTCAATCATCGAGTCAGATGGGATTGAGATGTCAGGAAGGAGGAGCAGTAGCAAGTTATAACCTGCACCACCCAAGGAAAACAAACCACAGGTTTGCACTCGACAAGCCAGAGACTAATGAACCTACTGCATCGTCCTTTTTCAGGATAGGAAGACGTGCCACCAATTCATAGAGATTTCAGCTTCATTTTTTTCAAACATTGGGGGTCATTTTCTATAAGGATCAGCGAGTAGAAATTCAGAAAGGAAGTAGGGCAATATATAGGAGCTGGGAATATGTGAAAGGTTAATAAGGATTTGCTAAGCATACGGAGTAATAGGCTAATATAACTAGTCACTTCAGAGTAAAAAAAAAAAGTCATTGAAAATAAGTGTGAAATATCAGAAAATATTTCTGGTAGGAATCCTCAAGAGTTGTTACTTGAGAATTAGTTCTAAAACAAAGGGTTATTATTGTTAAGAAAAATCCAAAACTGCAATGGGATAGAAAAACGTCTAAGATCCTATTAATGTGTATATGTACTATGCTGTTTTTAAGGCAACCAGAAAAAGAGTATGAGAAAAAATAACTAATGGGAATTTGGGAAGAATGTTTCACCACTGAATAAAAATATTCCTACTGCAATAGTATTTTGCAAAATTTCACAAGAATTTGGTTTCACACTTGGAAAGAATCCTCCCCCAAATATTTTAAATGTAATTGAAAAAGCCTGTGTAAATATGAACACTTTGGAAAAACAAAACAAAAACCCATGCAGGAATGTGCTTTGTTTTAAAAGATACAGAGAAGAGCTGTCTGTGGAAATACTAAGACTCCATCTAGGTGAAAGGAATCACGTCTTCAGTTCTTACATGTTCATTCAGTGCATCGGCCAATGGCCAGCTCCACTCTTCAGCTCACTGCCTACCAGGCCTTTCTAAGGTTATTGTTACAACCGAGACGGTCTCTGAGAATCAAACAGGAATAAATCATTTCTTCTCTGTGTACTGCAGCCAGTTAAAATAGTACTGCATGCATAAAGTACTAAATATGTAAATCATATTTTCCTTTACGACTGCTCAGATCAGTTTTTGGACACACACATAATCAAATACAAAGACACACAGCTGCAGACTGCAGAGTAGAGATAGCAAAAGAGGAATCCATTTTCTCCCTGTCTGGTAAGCTTGCAACTGAATGGCAGGATTCCACCAAATATATACACACGGTTGACCTCTCCTCCTCTCCCACAAGCACACACTTTTTCTCTCCACACACACACACACACACACACACACACACACACACGTACATAATGCACACACGCTTGCAGCATCTTGTACAAAAATGGAGAGGTGCTCTGGCTGCATACTGCAGAGGCGCCCTACTCACTGTCAGTCAGCTCCCATAGCCGCGGGGGCAGGTCACTGAAGTACTCATGGCTCAGGGCGGCCTGTGCAGACAGTCTGTTCTTTGGGGAGCACTGCAGAAGCTTGGAGGCCAGGTCCTCTGCATGATTCACATAGCTGAGCCTAAGAACACAAACAAAAGAGACAAATCAGATCAAAGAGGAAAATCCACTAAATACTTCATTTTACTCTTGGTCAGGAAAACAACCTGAATTACGCACTCAAAATGAACAAGCAGAATTCATTGATTCCTAGAATATCTGTTACTTCAAACTGACTTTTACTCTGGATATCCTAGTATTATTGATTTAACATATTTCTACTGTAAGCAAAGGTTTGATACTTTCAGAATGGCTAAAGCTAAGTGCAGAGGTAAAATATTTCAAAAGACAATTTATTAAATAGTTGTTCATAGAACCCATGTATTATATACATATCTGGATAGTCATAATAAATTATGACCAAATAATTATAAAAATTAAAATGGGACTTCTGTTAAATTCTCTAGTTACTAAAATTACTTTTCCTCTAAAAATTTATGTTTTCTTGCATTGAAAATAAAATTACTGAAACAACTGTGCTGTCAAATATCAACCATCATTATATTAACCTACAGGTTAACAAAAGGGGACATGCTTAAATGATACGAGACTGAATCAATTCAAGGTGACCTTTAAAACAACAGTAGATGGAAAATATGTGTCTCAAGATTATCGAACAAAGGAGAAAAGTAAGGCTTTCATGTGGTAGAGGCTTTCAAATGGTTGGCCACACCGATGAGTCCAGCCCAGCCTTACTTTGCATGGAATTTCTATTTCTCTGCTCCTGAAATCAAACCTGGATAATTAACATACAGTGGAGAGTAAGAGTATTCTTGCTAATGGCTACCATTTATGGATAGTTGAACGTGTCAGACACTTTCCTGGGCATTTCTCCCATTACAGTTAAGAAACTGTCCTGATTTAATGGAGGTGGAAGAAAAGAGGACACAGAGGTGGGTGCAGATTGTTGGATTAACAATCCATATCCTCACTGGGCTTTTAGGCCTGGGTCTCTGAATTTCTGGAATACAGCGCAATGCTTGCAGTGACTCTCAGAGGTAGACAGAGGGACTAAAGAAAAGTTGCTTTTCCCAGTATTTTTTAAAAAAAAAGCCTCGAAGCCACCGAACATACAATTAGTTAAAAGCTATCTTTTCTCAATGGCCAACACAGTTCTCCTCAAGCAGCAATTTAGGGACTGATTTTAACTTGTTATGGAGTGTGGGAGTCAAGACTGAGGAAGAGGAAAGAAAGCAGGTGAAGAATTCAGGTAGAGAAGAGGAGAAAAACAAAAATATTAGCCCCCAGCTCCAGACTGAGAGACCTCTCTGTTTTCACAGGTGAGAGTCTCAGCCTGGTTCAGTGTTTAGTTGCCACAGTGTTCAACAGATTGGTTTTAAATATCTCTGCCTAGGAAACAGAGATTCATCCTTGCAAAAGGAAGCATTCTTAAGTTTCTTCACAATCTCCTTGCTGCTAATTATTTTTTCCTCTCCTCAAGACTTTCTTGAGGGCTGGGGATGCAGTTCAGTGGCACTGCACCTGCCTGGCAAATGCAAAGTCTTGAGGTTTGATTCCCAGTACCAAGAAAAGGAAAAAGGGGTAAGGGGAAAAAATGAGAATCAAGACTTGTCATGTAGAGGTACAAGATCCCAACAATGAATATAACTGTACTGTATTCCTAAAATGTACCAATAAACTCAATTAAAGCTGAAAAAACAACAACCAAAAAAAAAACAAAAAAAAAACAACCAAAGTTTAAGATGGATTTCATGGTAAGAACTGCACTTATATTGAATGGATAGTTTTTACATAATCTTGATGAGCAGCACACTTGTACAGTTTTCTGTAGATTTGATAAAATGAAACGGTGCCAGATTGGGGTTAGATATGAATTTTGGGCTTGACACAGTTTTAAAAAATTCAAGCATATATTAATTAAAAGGGACAAGAGATATTTTTAAGCACTAAAATCGTGTGTTACTATAGTACATGTAGAAGAATAGGAAGGCGATTACAGCCTTTGGTGTGAAACTATTGAACACTAAATTCATTACTTTAGAATATATGAAATACAAAACCACACATACTATTTTCTCATCTCCTAAACAACAATGATGAATCACATGTGTATGCAGTTTTCCAACAATGAATCATATTTGAATCACCGCTTTGAAGACTGATATTTATATCTGCTTTTGCAATAGATTACTGATTACATTTAGATATAATACATATGCCTAAATATAATGCATTCATCAATGTAAGAGAGCCCACCACGTTACATGACATTAAATTTTAACGTCAATAAAGTAACATTTTATTTGTTATATGTACTTTATACAAAATGTTTAGCTTATTATATAAAAGTTTAGTTTAGAAATTCTGTTTCACACTTGTATTTTCAAGATCTAATTTTACTCTGACATTCTCCTGGCATTTTTAACATTTGTCGCTGTTAAAACCACTTTTTGCAACCATTTACGTTGTGTGCAGTATGACGCTTTTGGGAATCCATGTAAAATGTCCTAATTAGAAGTTTTATCTGAAGTCATGGGTGATCCTTATCAGACTTTTAGAATGACTGTGTTGTTCGCAATCTCCCATTGTGATGGCACATGTTTTCAACTTTTCCTTGTAAGTCTAGCAATTTTTGTTTTATATATTGTAAGGCTAGGTAATTATACCTTTGCGGTATTAGTCTTAAAACTTTACAATGTGATCTTTTCTATCTTTACAAAACTAAATTTCTTTTTCTTCCCTCACATTAACTTAAGGACTTCAGCTTTCTTTTGTTTAGTATTTCCCTGGTGCACCTTTTGTCATCTGCCCGCTTTTAATGTTTTATATTCTGTGACGATTAAGCTTGATTGCATCAATTTGATTGGTTTGCATACATCTGGGTGTGTCTGAGTGAGTCTTCAGAATGTGACTTTGGGTGCTGTATCTGGTACTGTTCCCCTGATCCGCTTCCCAGCTGCCAGGAACCGAACATCTGGGCCTTACTACACCCTTCCTCTATGATCTTCCTGTCTTAGAGCCAGCTGACCATGGACTGAATCTCCTTAAAATATGAGCCGAGTTAAATCTCTCCTCCTTTAATTTCTGGGAATCTGGTATTGTGTCCAGAATCAAGAAAAAAAAATATATGTTACTATATATTTATAGTTAATTTTAAGGTGTCTCCTTCATAAATGTTATTTAGCTTGGCTTAACTTTTTATCCAATTAAACAAACCTTCTGAGGAGATCTAGAAAGAAAGTTTATTTACAGTTGTGATTCCTGGTCTATTCTGAATCGTTATTAGCCTAACTCTGCATTCAAATTTTTAACTTCTTTTACCTTTTCCCTACCTTCTTTTTCAAACTGAGTTTAAAATTCAACATCTTCTATCTTCTATTTTAGAAGTCATACATTACAGTTTCAATCTTCTTAACTCTTACTTTTCTTTGTATTTCATTATTTTGTCAGATGCTTAGTACTTTTTATTTTAATGTAATACAAGTAGATATTAATAAAGAAAATATAAAAAGTTCTATGAAAAAATTTTTTCATAACACAAATAATTAGAGAACAATAGTAAATATACTGTGTATCATGATCTTAAAAGAATATATTTGCAATTGCTAATCTATTTCTTAACCAATTTTCTAATACTATACCTTTTTTTTTTACATAAAGCATTTTAATTAGTACATTTTTATAAGCTGGTGGATACTGACAAATTATTTCTTACTACACATATAAACAACCCAGATAGTATATGCATATAGTTGAACTAACATCAACACAAATCACTATTTTATCAATTGCATAGTAAAACAAAATTTTAAATATGCAAATATTAGGTTATTCAGCTTGGCATATAAAGTATGTATCTTCTCAATTTATTAACAAAAACTCACTTTTTTTCTAAAGAGAGTTGGGTAAGAGGAGGAAAAACATCATGGAAATAGCTGGTGAACAACTTCCAATAAATTGGAAAAAAATATAGGATTTAAAAAATGTTATTATTAAGAATTATATTAGCTACAACCACAAAACTTGTCTACCTTAAAATATTTATGAAATTAAAGGGCATATGTCCTGCAGAAGGCAACTCATTTTGCTAAAAATAATAGCTCACCTCAACTCTTCAGGCCCTCTCTTTCAAGTTGTACCCTAAAGTACAAACATTAAACTAACCTTAAGACTTTTTTGTCTGGAGACATTAAAGATAATGTGCTTCTGTACAATGTGGACTTTACATGAACTTTTCCACCATGGTTTGTGTCTTTTAAAATGCAAGTTTTCATAACAGCACAAATAAAATTTATAGAAAGACATTAAGAAATCATCCTAAAACTTGGACAAAACCCAACAAAACCAATGGCTACACAAATCTGATGTATACTGTTTTAAATGCGGGACATATAAAGTAGCAGGCAAGTAGCTACATAGGTCCTACTACCACTGTTTGAAATGATGGAGGAAATAAACCACAGGTCTATGCCAGTTCCTGGGATTTTAATTCTGTACGGTAAAGAAAACATACAAGGGTTATGCCGAGTATTGTAGCACCCAGTCTCTCTACGTTTCTTATATATTGGTAAGATTCTGGCAGGAGAGTGGATTTGAAGAAGACAAACTGGTGATTTTAGGAAAAGTTTGTTGATACAAATAATAAGCATATTTTAAATGATGCTGTCTTAGTTACCTCCTTGTCTCTGAGACACTATACTCAACACCCACAACTCTAAGGAGGAAAAGTTTACTCTGTTTCACAGTTTGTAGAATTTCAGTCCATAGTTCTCTGGCTCCAATGCAGGATCACATGGCAGAGGGGCATGGCAGTGGGGCATGGCAGAGGAGAAAAGAGCTCATGGCGGGTGGTAGGAAGCAGAGAGAGAGAGAGAGAGAGAGAGAGAGAGAGAGAGATGGAGGGAAGGAGGAAGGCAGAGTGGGAGAGTTGTTGGTAGAGGAGAAGCTCCAAGAGGTGGGACTAGCTTGGGTGAGGACCCATCAGCTACAGGGATCCATGCCCTCCTATCACATTTAGTTATAACTTTGTGAACTAATTCACTGATGAGTGTCTTGTACCTA